ATTCAGATATTCAACTATCAACTTATATATTTTGGCCTTACATTTTAATTTCACTAATTATTTCATGGCAATTCCCAGCTTAATGAATACCACTTTGTCATATTACATGTATTTAAACAAAGCTTAAATAGATATGAATCTGAAGTGATCAGTGTGGTCTAGAGCAGGCAGAGAATCTATAGTATTTAGAGTAGTAATATATGATCAGAGACATGTAACTGGGGCTAGCAGCATGGCCAGCTGTCATACCAAGAGCACATCGTTTATATTACATGTATTACATACTTGGGTACACATTTGTTTTTAGATTGTTATTAAAATACACCATATATTTGCTACGTTAGGCAACAGACTGCCATATAGCAAAAAAGGAATTCAATTTCCCTCCCATTGATATGTCTGGTTAAATACAATGCTTACACTGAATCAGAAATGCCTCACCTCTTGCATGCTATGCCATATTTCTGACCAATAGATGGGCAATTATTTTGATACAAAAATACAAATGTGTGTGTGTGCCTCCTAGATGCCTACAAATTAAGCTATCATCTACCTGTTCATTGTAACCGATTTAGTTGCTACATTCTTCCCCTTCACCAGACACATTGTCAGTTATTTTTACTCCAAATCACACATAAACTGTATAGAACATTCATAATAACCCAGGATTGGATTTGCTAGTTCATCAGTTCATATTTCATTTTCATTTTAGTACAATTTCAATTCACAATAGCATTTTCTGCAGACAGTACAATATTTTATACGTTAGTTTGTTCTTGATTTTATATATGCAGACAGCATATTCTATGGTAACTCCTAATAGCAATTGTTACTAATAAAACAAGAATTAACATGGCATTAGAAAAACTAAATGTTAGATTTCTGAAGAATATGTTAAATAAATGATTTTATTTCTTTGTAAGGGGAATGTTATGTAATTTGTGAGCAAATCTATGTATAATCACAAAATACAATTAGCAATTTAAATAGCTGAATTCATTTACATTAGTAAATATATGTTTTCTAAATATGTATACATTAAATTGTAAAGATATTTTTGAGAACCTGCTAAGTAAATACACTACTTATGCTGTGCTGCACAAGTGTTGCAGCATTTTATGTCATTATGCATATTAATGAATTTTTGTAATGGACTGGAGCCAATTCATGCATTAAGAATTTATGGTACAATCGACAATATAATCACTTATTATATATTTAATTTATTTTAAAGAACATGTTTTGCTTGTATTTGAAAACTTGCCAAGGCACAGTGGTTCTTGGAGAACATCAACAGCAGCCTGACTCAATTAGCCAACATCTGCAAGGTTATTAAAAAAAAATCTCAATAAACCCCCAAAGCACTCTTACCCCAAAAACAATAAAAGAGGACAACAATAATAAAGATCCCTATATGCAGTAAACCCGTGCAAGTTATTTTGTTGGATATGTCTGTTCTCTGATATAACGAATCAGCTGTAAACATTTACAAATTGCACAACACACACATTATGTTATCTATCTATTGTGATGCCATCCATGCTATTATTTCTTGTAATTAGTAAGTAATAATGCACAATTTGCCACCATGCACAACAGACAGTTATGACCATATTTGTAAAAGGTATCCTATAGTCAGCAAAACAACTTTAGCTTAATGAAGCAGTTTTGGTTTGTGTATATCATGCCCTATCAGTCTCACTGCTCAATTCTCTGTTATTTAGGCGTTAAATCACTTTGTTTATGCAGCCCTAGGTACACCTCTCTGCATGCGAATTACATAGCCTTCCTAAACACTTCCTGTAAAGAGTAATCTAATGCTTACGTTCTAATTTTCTGCTATGTTAATTAGAGTTGAGCAAACCCGGACTGTAAAGTTCGGGTTCATACCGAACATTACGTTTTTTGGACCCTGGAACCAAACACGGACATATCACTGTATGTTCGGGTTGGAGTTCGGTGTTCGGTGATTTAATGGTGCGTTTTCAAAGGCTGCAGGGCAGCCAATCAACAAGCTTTTGACTCGTGTGCTCTTAGAAGCCATCACAGCCATGCCTACTAATGGCATGGCGGTGACTGGCCAGTGCAGCATGTGACCCAGCCTCTATATATAAGCTGGAGTCGTGTAGTGTGGCACACAAATGAGCTCTCAAATAGAAGCGTCAAATAGTGCGCTTGCAGCGCATTTGTAAACATTCTAATTGTTTTGCTGCTAATTTGCTAGCTAGTACATTTTGGGGCTTGCTCTTCATATCTGAGAGTCAAATCGAAGCGTCCAATAGTGCGCAGTTGTAAAAATTCTAATTTTCTGGGTGCTAATCTGCTAAATAGTACATTTTGGGGCCTGCTCTTCATATATGAGAGTCAAATCGAAGCGTCTAATAGTGCACTTACAGCGCAGTTGTAAAAATTCGAATTTTCTGGGTGCTAATCTGCTAAATAGTACATTTTGGGGCCTACTCTTTATATATGAGAGTCAAATAGAAGCGTCTAATAGTGCGCTTACAGAGCAGTTGTAAACATTCTAATTGTTTTGCTGCTAATCTGCTACATAATAAATTTTGGGGAATGTTCTTCATATGTGAGAGTCAAATCGAAGCATAAATAGTGTACTTACAGCGCAGTTGTAAACATTCTAATTGTTTTGCTGCTAATATGCTAAATAGTAGAATTTGGGGCCTGCTCTTCATATCTGAGAGTCAAATCGAAGCGTCAAATAGTGCGCTTACAGCACAGTTGTAAACATTCTAATTTTCTGGGTGCTAAATAGTGATGTCGCGAACCGTTCGCGAACTTGCCACGAACGGTTCCCCACGGTTCACCACGAACCGTTCGCCACGAACTGTTCGCCGAGAACTCCGGTCAGCTGACACATCCCTGCCAATCTCCGGCAGACCCATCCTCCCAGACCCTTCCACCTCCTGGACAGCATCCATGTTGAAGCTGCCTTCAACATGGATGCTGTCCAGGAAATTGTAGGGGCTGGGAGGGAGGGTCTGCCGGAGATTGGCAGGGATGTGTCAGCTGACCGGAGTTCGCCGCGAATGGTTCGTGGTGAACCGCGGCGAACCGTTCGCGGCAAGTTCGCGGGTGGTTCGCGACATCACTAGTGCTAAATAGTACATTTGGGGTGTGCACTTCATATCTGGTGTATGTGTGCAACACTGACTAGTTACCGCTGATCAAGAAATTCTAAAGACAAATAAATGTTGCCTCTTGTGCAGGTAGTATAGAAGGCAAGACTGAGACAAATCATTCGGGTTACGTTTGCCTGTTGACATGTTAATTATCTTAGACCATTAAAATTCAATAATCAATGAAAAACACACAAGTGTCATACAGAAATATGTATTATAGACAAGTTAAAAACAAGACTACAAGTCATGCTATAACAAAATTAAACAAGTTTTAAAATATGTATGGGCCAACCAGTGGCTGTAAAAACAAAGTTTTACTGGTTACATTCATGACTGCACACTCTAGTGAACAGGAACTTCATGTAGTGTGTTCTTTATTTTTTAATTATACAGCATTCTTTCCTGTGCTTTTCAGATGTCATATTGTTAATTACCAATTTTTGTTTAGCCTGATTTTTTTAAAAAAAAGTGAAAAATAAGTGTTATTGTGATCACTTCATATACAGACGCATTAATATACATTTCTATATTGTGTAAAGACACAACTACAAAGTTAAAAACCAAACACCAAAACAACGTGCCAGACAATCTACTTGTGCATGGCTAGTGTGATACAATACATCTACATCTTAAAAATGCAATAACCCACAGAAGATGGGCGAGAATTTTTTTTGCAAATGGAACTTTAATTCGAATTTACCACATCATTCACTTGTAATATTGTTTCACACCTACAGGACTTGTTACACAGATCTAAGTGATAGAAAACAGATTGATATTTTCTACACTAGAAACTACCAGATAACAAGCTGCTATATTTAAACCAGTTATCAATAGCTAAGAGGTACTTAAACAATATTGTAATCCTGGGGCAATACCCTCACAAGTCAAACTGAGAGGTCAGTTTATAGGGAAAACTGTTGCCTGGATACAATTCTAAAACAATTTCCATATGTCCTTTGCAGACTTTACATGTTGGAAAACACAGGTGCCAACTGCTGTGGCTTTCTGCAGTGTGCACACCGGCAAGGAGGGCAGGGTTGAGGAGTGGGTGGAAGATGATGTGGAGGATGATGAGGTCCTAGACCCCACGTGGAATCAAGGTTATGCGAGTGACGTGTGCAGTTTGGAGGAAGAGGCGCTGGTCGCACAGAGGCACCAGCACAGCCTAAGAGGGAGCAGGGTGTAAAAGCGGAGCGGCCGTCCCCTTGCGCTCATTGGCATGTATTATCTTTAGAATTCCCACAGTTATCCAAGTAACAGTTGAAGCTATAAAAAGAACCATAACAGATTTAACGAGCCATTCGCAGTTTCGCAGTTCGGTGACTGGGACCCAGACACTGTCTGGGCGGCGGTCGGACTACCGGGACCCAGTAAGCCTGATGTTGAAGTTAGGAGTCACAATGTGGAATGGATTAGCAGGATCTGGTGCAGGGTAACCACACGCCCCCTGGTACTGAGCACCAGCGTTTGTGCGTCCACATACCAGGACCCTGATGCAGCTTCAGTAAAAAGAATACTGGATACCAGAAGCCATCACCAGACTAATCCGCAACTTGGAACAGGATGTGACATTCACTGTCGCGGCTGTGCACGCTTTCGGCGTTCTCACCCTGCTGCTGCTCGCCTGTCTGCGCTGCAGCATAACTTTGGCCTTTCCACTCACTGCCTCATATGCGACGTGCCCACAGGGTGGAACTCCACCTTGCACATGCTGGAGAGACTGTTTGAGCAGCAGCAGGCGATAGTGGAGTTTCAACTGCAGCAATCACGTGTCAGTGGCTCTGCACCAGACTTGCCCTCCAATTGATCAGAGTTAAAGGATTTCAAGTGGACACTAAAGAGTCCTGTATTGTTATTTGTCGTCACTACCTTCCCGAGTCAGGAGTCGGTCATTTGCGCGCCTGTTGCCTTCCTTGCATGTGGTAGCCGTTTGTCAGGGTCCCTGTATGGAATCGAACCCTGATTCCCCGTTACCTGTGGTCACCATGCTAGGCTCAGTCAATGGCATCGAAAGTTGATATGTATTGACATACGAATGCGTCATCGCTTTCTTGTTGGGGAGCACATTGAAAAAGTGCTCTAGCATGACGAGCTGGGTGATCTCCTCTGGGAACTTAGCTTGATGGGAAGTGAGCCAGTTCTGGGTGGCCCTTGTGATGCCACGGTGTATACCCAGATATATCAGAGCTGTTGCAGAAAGTGCGGGCCGTCTGTGCGCGCTTTTGGCATTCTTACCCTGCTGCTGCTTGCCTATCTGCGCTGCAGCGTAACTGTGGCCTTCCCGCTCACCACCTCATGAGACTGTGCGAGCAGCAGCATGCGATAGTGGAGTTTCAGATGCAGCACGCACGGGTCAGTCGCTCTGCGGAACAGTTTTATTTTTTTATATTTCCCAATATTTTGGGGGCTACCCCAATTAAAATAAAAAAAATATATATAAAAAAACAGTGTTGGCTAACATACACCGCCACGATCACCGCCTCCTCAACCTATGGGTCACTTAGTATAAACTATGTACACAATAGCAGAGGCTTGTGAAGGTCTTTTCTCCATGCATCAGGAGTTGAGCTCAGTTTGAACAATGAAAGAGAATACTCTGCAGTCCAACCCTCTCTCAAATGGATAATTCTGGTGATCCTCCTGACAGCCATGCTTTAGATTTTGATTTATGTTCTTCCAAAGCTAAAATCAAAGATTCCATCTAGTGCTATTTTATGGCTCAGCTGTAATTTTTATTTTTATGTTATTTTAAGTGATTTCTCTATCCACATTTGGTTGCAGGGCACTTGTCCTACTCTTACCCCAATTTTACTTCCTTTTGCAGCCCCCTAGCCCTTTCCAGGACTTTTTTACAGGCATTTTTGTGGCCAAAAGTTAGGGTCCCCATTGACTTCAATGGGGTTCAGGTTCGGGGTCAAGTTCGATCACAAACCCGGACTTTTTTTCAAAGTTCGGCCGAACCCACTGGACCCGAACATCCAGGTGTCCGCACAACTCTAATGTTAATAGATTGCTAGACCATGCAGGAGTCTTCTGTATGTAATTAAAGTTCCATTTGCAGAGCAAGAGATAGAAACTTCTAAAGTAAGTTACATCTAAATTACATCATTTTGTTTTCATACAGGCTGTGTCTGTCACAGACAGGGGAGGTCTGCAAAGCACTGTACAAACAGGAAAAAAAAGTGATTTAACTCCTAAATGGCAGTGAATTGAGCAGTGAGACTGCAGGGACATGATCTATACACCTAAACTGCTTCAATAGGCTGAAGTTGTATTGTTGACTATAGTGTCCTTTTAACTCTCTTCCACATTAAACTAACGGTGGCAGTTCAACTATTACCCAGGAGTGTAACTCCCCTTAATTTGTGGAAGCATTGTCATACATTACCCAATTTGACCTTAACATTTAAAACTAGAATAGTGCACGGCAGAAAAATATGGTTCGTCCAAACCGATATATATGAAAAAAATAATTGGTTGGTGAAGTTTGGATTAATTTTGCTCATGTATTCATTTAAAAAAACAATTTGGATGAACTGGAATGGCACGAAATTGTGTCTTTTAGCATACTACAATAAAAAAAAAATCAACTTCTCCATTCCCTCCCAATTTTTCTGGCACCATGGATGGAACTGTAATATACAAAACATACAAAATGGCTTTTTCGCTACCCATTTCATTTGCTTCATGATTCATGAAGTTGTGAAATTCATATGAATTGCTGATTGCCCCAAATTTGGATGAATAATTCTGTTGAAACTAAATGCACAAGCTTATTAAAAACCTCTAATACTAAGTCTAGCAATGCCCTTATCACTAACAATAACCCCTGACACTTAAGCTCCCACAAATCCTAATATATTAGCTTAAACATTCCCCCACATTCCAAATTGTATATTAAAAAATACAGAACAGTTAAGTATGTATTTGGGGAAAATAAAGCCATTTACTAAATATGAAGTCTTGTGCAAAGCAAAAATAACAGCAGGAAAATGGTGGTTAACATGCAGAAACAGTTACACTATGGCCTGGATTAATAGCTACGCAATATCAACCAGTTTTACAATACCAATTCTGAGTTGCCAAAATTAGATTATTATTATATGAAATAAATTTTAAAAAAGAAGTGAGAGAACTTTGTTTTGACAAGAACCAAACTTTCCCGCACATTTGTAGTGTCAGTCGCTGTCCTTCAGTGTGGGAAAAACACAGTGCCCTGTCAGCTTCTCCCAACTGCGGCCATGACTCAGTCAGTCAAGGAAAACCGCTATAATGAAAAACATTTGAAAAAAGAGGCTTATAAGGCTAAGTTGTTTATGTATATAGTTAGTTTGTAAATAATTTAAGTTTCTGTTGCAAACATTTCTTCCTCTTTTTTTCTTTTTTTCTATCTAGTCAGATTTAAAGGGAGGAAGGCTTACTATAATTTTCCTCCTTATATCCTTTTCTAACCACTCTATGTGAAGACCATCCATGTTGAGTTAACACACCCTTTAACTCTGTATTAAGCATAGCACTTGACAGACGTATATCTTTCCACATGTGTTGGTACTATCCTGCACATGCTAGTATTATCGATACTTTCAATAATATTGGCATGATTACTTTGTATATTATTTTGATATACATACTGTGATGATCTTTGCTCAAATCTGACTTATATACATACAGAATCTACCTTACACTGGACCTACGTTTTACCAACAATTAAGCCCGTCGTGTGTACTGTGTGGTAGACCTGTCTCATCTAATATAGGAATAGCCTTACAAGGCTAAGGAATTTATGTATATAGCCATTTTGCGTATAAGTTAAGTTATTGTTACTATTGTCTCCACCGCAGAGATAACACCATTACTTTAGATACTGGTATATATCCAGAGAGCCCTCTCCTCACTTATGTGAGAATATTTTGGCTTATTCATTTTTCAATTTTTTTCACGCATTAGGGGTTAAGTCCCGAGACACCCCTGGAGTGTCTCACTGGTGTATCACCTCTGTGACTGTGTTAACACTTAAGACGCACATTGCTGATACGCTGTTGTATGGGTGTAACACAGTCATAGAACCCTTTTCTATATTAGCAGCAGTATCCAAACAAGCCCCATGCAGGAATATCATTTGCACTAATGCTAAATATATACAGTCATGGGGGGTGGGGGGGGGAGGGGAGTACACCCTCTTTGAATTCCATGGTTATACATATCAGGACATAATAGCAATCATCTGTTCCTTAGCATGTCTTAAAATTAGGTAAATACCTCAGAAGAACAACAACATATTACATATTACTCTGTGTCATGATTTATTTAAGGGAAATAAAGAATGGAGAAGCCATGTAGAACTACCTACCTGTAAGGTAGTGTAGGGGTTCAGGATTAGTACTTAAATGTAAATGTTTCTAAATCATAGAATTCCAAAATATGATCTGCCTTCATTAAAACATATCCACTTTAAATTATGTAACAATGGGGAGATAAAACAACTTTATTTGTTTATGTGATTTATAAGCTGAAATAAATATTTGTGATTTGAGTTTTTATTGTGATTAGGTGTTGTATGATGGTATTTATTTTTGCATTACTGCATAATTCATATAAACTTTATATAGACATCTTTATAAGAAAGCTTAATATCATATACATTTCTGTGTGTAATCTTTAATAGAAAGCCTAATAGGTAACACTATGGCTGGTTATTAGCATCTCAGTCTATGAATCAGATTTAGTTTTAAATCTAATTATTCTGAGAGCTTGTTATACAAAGATTTGACAATTTTTATGTTAGATAATGGAATGAATCAACATGGGACTTTTCATTATCCTGTAATCTTACCATTTATGCAGCAAATTATTCCAAACAGAAGAGATACTGAAGTGTTTTGTAGACTGTGGATTTTGCTAACCAAAAATGAGTAATATAATAACAATAAAATACAAGATAAATTGTATTTTAAAACAGCAGTATCTCTCAACTAACAATGTGTTAAAATGGAACATGTTTTAAAGGGACACTACCACTAACATAAGCTGTAACTACATTACTTATGCATTACAGAAAAAAATCACTTGTAAAACACATCCCACAGGTTTTTTGTCTTTGTTTAAAATAATTGCATATAAAAAGGAAAAATAAATGTAACTGTTTATCTCCTGAATCCATTGTGTGGATTTTTATTCCCATGATGCAACATTCTCCAAAATCTTAGAGCAAGTCTCACTTTAAAGCTGTGGGCAGAACCTACATCATGATGTCATAAGATACAGACCTGCTCTCTTTCTGGTTCATGTGTATCACTAGAGGGCAAGATTAGGTAACTGTGCACTACCTCTTTCACCTGCCTTCCGACACAGAAAGTACAGCCTTCTGGAAGAGAAATGACATTGACCTGGATTGATCAAGACAGTGATATTTCCACCTTTTACAAGTAAGTGTTGATACATTGTGCCAGTAAAACCAATGTGTTCTCTAGATACACTTTAATGCAAATCTTTTTTCTTCCATAGCTATTCATCACACACACCAAACACCAATTATTTGTGAGAATATTTGAATTTTGATAATTCTCTCAAGAAAACACCATTAAAAATAATTAAATTGTTTAAATAGTCCTGTATTTTACTCAGTTATGTAGGCTAGGGTCTATTATATTTCAGTTCCTGGCATTCTATTCCAATATTTTCAGCATGCAAACAGCATAGGATAAACAATAGTGAAAAGGAAATGGTGAAGGCTGCTGGGAATGTATTGTGCTGTCTAGGTTACCTGAGATAAGAGATGTCAGCTGAGTGAGATACTATAGTGGGGTTCCAACACTTGATACAAAGAGGTCATAGGAAAACTGAAATTGGAATCTGTATGAGACTAAAAACAATAGGGTGTTGTGTCATGGAGGTGGTTTTTGACTGCAGAGGAAACGTGTTTTGGGTAGGGAGAGATTTTAAGGAATATTAAGAATATTCATTTCCAGTAGGAGTGACACTAAGAGACAAATAACTGAAGGCATTAATAGCTGTAATACGTCACCCACTTGTATTCCAGAGTATAACCAGAGACATATTATAAATGTGAATCCACTTATACATTAGATTTATATATA